TCAGGATGTTATAGTACCCAAGGGCTCCAGTTACCTAAATAGTAGGTTGCTAACTCTATATTATGTACCCCAGTAACCTACTATTTAAGTTACTGGAGCCCTAGGGGAAGTGATACGCTGAAGATTCGTTGCGTTTCGCCTCTGGCCGACGAGCTCCTCAAACCAGAACCTGAAGCCAAATTCGCACACCGACAAAAAGGCAACAAGTTAAACTTCGAACCCTCAAACCTCTAAACCTTAAAGCCTATAGGGTTTGGCACCCCTGCGAGTCTAGGATGCTAGGGTTCGAGGATTGTAGGAGTCCAGGATTCGGTTTTAGGTGTGCAGGTTTCATAAATGGTTTAAAATGAAGTTTGCACGTATACCATGTTCAATATGTAATACCTGTATGCACAGTGTATATATATATATATACATACATGCATGCATACATACATGTAGGCTTCGAGGTTTGGGGGCGGTAGGTTCCTGAACGGTGAGGGTTAAGGATCCTCCACGACGTGCAACCTTTCGAGAATCAAAACTTTCACCACCAGTTCCGGAATGCGCCTTACACTGTGGTACGGTTCGTTTCCTTCTACACACGGCATCCTTCGTCAAGGTATGTTGTGAAGCCCTTGAAGAAAAGCCTGAAGCCAGTACGCTGGGAACCTTAATTCGACATGTTCGCTGTTTGCTTCCGCAGCTTTTCTACCCCTTGAAGCATTCCGGGGCCCTCTGTATATAACTTCAACATTTAGGTGGGATTTTCCGAAAATTCGGGTACCTTAATTTGTGGTCCTTAAAATCAGGATCCTCCTATTTGGGGTCCTAGATTCGGGTCCCCGGCCTCGATACTTACCTATCGTATTTTTTGGGGGGTTCCTCATTCCGGTTATAGTATAGTGGGCCCCAAAACCTTATTCTAATTTTTAAGGCCCCTACATTACAGCCTGTCAATAGAATAGGGTTTGGGGGTATGCTATACCCAAAACCTTTTCCTAATTCTTAAGGCCCCTACCTTATTATGGTTATGTAGAATAGGCCCCAAAACCCTATTCTAATTATTAAGGCCCCTCAACCCTAAACCCTTATAGTAGCCCTTATAGAACCCTTTAAAGGAACAATTTAAAGGAGCCCTATTCTCATTATTTAAGGCCCCTCCATTTCCCAGGTGTGCCACCGATGTGGACACCGAGAGCACCGGGGCGAGCTCCTCTGAGGACGGCACGGCCCCTTTTCTGCAAAGACCGTCAGCCCCTAGAAAGCCCTTAAAAAAGGTTTAGGGTTTAGGGTTTAGAGTTAGGCCCCTAGAAGACCCTTAAAAAAGGTCTAGGGTTTAGGGTTTAGAGTTTAGGGCCTTAATGCTTACAGATACTTTTTTGCGGTTCCTTACTGTACTTAGATTTTGAAGGACCCCAAAACCCTATTCTGAAATTAAGGCTTCTACAGCTAACCCTTGAACCCTAAAGCCGAAAGAGCTTGCGGGATTAATATATGGGGCCGGGATAAGTAGCAATGGCATTCTGTTCTATAGCTCTGTTTAATATAGTTGTACACTCGGATGCTTACGGATCTCCCCCCAGGGCTTAGGGTGTCAAGCCCACCCAGAAATTCAATCAAGTATTAGTTAACTGCATAGTAAAGCCCAAGTAGTACCTGGCAGTCGCAGCCTAAATGCCCAGGAACCCTTGCAGGAGCACCCCCCCTAAAGCTCCCGAGACCCACCCCGTGAGTCCGAAGCAACAAACCCAACTTAAGGAGAACATGCTAGTTACCAGTAGAGCCCTGAAGAAGACATTTTCAACAAGGTCATGCACGCCCGTGTACAGCCCAAAAGTGAGAAGCTCTGGGATCAGGTCAAGGGCCGCCTTGTCGATGTCCCCAAGAAGACCGGGATGCGCAATCTTCAGCTCATCATGGACGAGGACTCTGAGGGGTTCCGAATCGACTTCCAGGATTTTCGGGCGCAGGGGTTAGAGAGGGGATTCGTGTGTGGGTTCGATAAAGGGTTCTGTGAGGGTTCTGTGGCATAGTCGTGACACGGGAAGCATGCGTACACATCTGTATGCATATATATATATATATAACAACAACAATAATAGTAATAATAATAATAATAATAATAGCAATATTAATATTAATACTAACAATACTAACTTCTGGTGAAATATAGTCCAGGACGGCCAAGCTTCGGGCTTGTAGCAAGGATGCTCAGCAGATCCAGCCGACTTCTGGAATCCTGGAACATAAACCGAGAAGGTCGGCCCAGAGAAAGCTTTTACCCGGTTGGCACTGCTGCTTTCGGGGTTTTGATCATGGTAGTTAGTGTTGGTATTCCCCTCATGCTATCTAATGGGCTACATGTTTAGTATACCGAAAATATCCCAATGATTTAGGTTCCGCATCCTGATCGCAGAGACACGGATGCAATTTGATTCGACCATAACCGCCCCATAGTAAGGAGATATTAGGGCCCTGCCATACCTGCCCTAGCCCATCGTGGCGGAAGAGCCTAGCCCTGCAACACCCGCAAACCAAAAACAGAGGAGAGCGCGGCACCCGGAATGCCAAACCGGTATTAAGAGATATCTAGGGTTTATGGTTTAACGGTCCGAGGGTTTACCCTAAACCCTAAACCCAAAACCCTAAACCCTAAACTAACTGCCTAAGAGTGAACAGGTTTAAGGGTCCAGGGTTCAGGTCTGCTGACTTGCCTTGAACTACCATAACCTACTTTTTTGTAGGTCCTTATTATAAACCCTAATATAGAATTTATAGGGACCCTACACAAAACTAGGTTTTGGTAGTTTAAGGTGGATCCTAGACTCCACACCTGACGACTCCACTGGCCAGGACTCTGAGAAAAAGCCACAGGGAGCCTTGTAGAAGCCACTGCAGAAACAGAAACCACTGTTCGAGTGCCCTGGTAGAAACCCGTATAGCTTCCTTGGAAGGACATGCTGAATCGCTACCAGGCCAAGAAGGACTGCACAACAGCCCATTCGCAATTAAGGGAGTTCCCTCTTGATGAGCTTTAGGGTTTAAGGCTTAGGCTTGGGTAGTATCGGATTCAGTGTTTCGGGCTTCTAGCTTGCAGGACTCAGTCGTGCCAAAGGTTCTCAAAGCCCTTCCGCTACCAGAAGGGCCTTCAAGAAGGGGAGTGATTTAGGATTTGGGGACCGTCTCCGAGCCACAGAATTTCAGGCATGCCGCTTCGAAGGATGCTCCTTAATCGTATCAGCAACTGCTCTGGGCTACTGTGTTGAAAGGCTTCTGTCTATGATATGAGTGCTGACTTTAAAGGATTTTTTGAGTAATGAGACTAGTAAGTCCGGAGCCCTCCGGTTTAATCCGAAGAAATTCCCAGTAGTACCCTTATCCCGCTTCCCTCATAAACCTTGCCTTCTTCCCGCGTCTCAGAGTTGGAACTGAGTCCCTTCGGAAGGAAGCCTGCAACTTCCTGCTGAAGTGCGAAACCTGGTTCGCCGAATACCTTGGAATGAGCCTCTCCACGGTTTAGGGTTCAGGGTTTAGGGCCGGCTCGCGGTTCAGAGTAGCATGGGATGAGCCCGTCCTGTTTAAGGGTCCTTCTATTAGGCGTCTTAGGTCTTAGGCGCTATAGGGCTCTTTAAGGGCTCTTGAAGCTAGCTTCTGAGGTTTCGACGGTCTCTTCAGGGCTGAAGGGTTTGAAGTATGAAGCCCTGAGGGCCCCATAAAACTCGAAAATGCCAATGAGATGGATGCAGGAAGTATGAGAATGAGCCTTGAGGACCCGATAAACCCCTATAAACGCCTCTACAAAGGAGTAGAAGACGGATCCATGAAGCAACCCTAAGCCAGAACCTGCTGTGAGCCCACCCACAAGAATAAGATGAACCCAGGAGGTTTAGGGTTTAGGGTTTTAGGGTTTTAGGGTTTAGGGTTTAGGGTTTTGGGAGCATGATAATACCCCACAAAGCCCCATAAAGCCTGTCAGAGGTAGGAGTGTAAGACGGACCCAGGAAGTATGAAGCCATATGGCCCGACCCCAGGAAGTCTGCGAATATCCCATAGAGCCTTCAAGAATCCTTTGAAGAGCAAAAGTATAAGATCTATCGAAGCTCGTATGTTTTTCTGCAAGAGTGTAAGATGGGCCCAGGAAGTAGGATAATAACCCTTAAAGCCCTCTAAAACCCCCGGAAAGTATGATAATATCCCTTGGAGCCCTCTGAATCCCAGAAAGTATGATAATGACCCATAAAGCCTTCTAAAGCCCTAGAAGGCATGATAGTAACCCTCAACGCCCCCTAGCCCCCCCCCGCCCCGCCCCTAAGATGGGGGGCCCAGGAAGTATGATAATAACCCTTACAGCCCTCAAATAGTAACCTTGAAAGCCGCCGAACCCCCCCCCCCCTAAGATGGGGGGCCCAGGAAGTATGATAATAACCCTTAATGCCCTCAAAGCCCTCTAAAGACCCCCAAAGATGCGGAAGCCCAGGAAGTATGCCCTGTCGCTCAACAGCGGCGGCATTGCCATCAGCCTGGGCCTTGAAGCGATGAAGCGAGCTCCTGGGCCAGCACTGAGGAGTGCTTTTGTTTTTGTTTTTGCTTGTTGTGTGTGTTGTGTATATATATATATATATATACATAACGAGAGAGAGAGAGAGATCTGTAGTTTTATATATATATATATAGATGTATGTGTGTGTGTTGTTGTCCATGTTTTGGTGGAGGGAGGTTAAAGGTTCTATAGGTTTAGGGTATACAGGTTTAGGGTTAAGTGTGTTTTGAGGAGCTAGTATAGACCCTAAACCCTAAACCCTAAACCCTAAACCCTAAACCCTAAACCTAGTATAGTGGTAGTAATGTTCACATAGAGTCTCTTGGTCTTCGGACTGTTGGCTTTGGCACTGCCAGTGCTTTGTTGCGCGTTGCGCGTGAATGAAGTTTGAGTATAACCCTAAACCCTAAACCCTAAACCCTAAACCCTAAACCCTAAACCCCTAAACCCTAAACCCCTAAAACCCTAAAACCCTAAACCCTAAACCCTAAATTGTTGGTTTTTTCAGACCAGGGCCTGCGACTTCGAGTTTCGGGCTTATTAGCTAAGTCGAGCTATGCAGCTGCATGTGGGGGTTTCTGAAAACAAGGGGTTTAGGGTTTAGGGTTTAGGGTTCCTTATTTTGGGGTCCTTATAATAAGGATCCTAGTATTTAGGGTACTATATTAGGGTCCCCTATTTTCGGAAACCCCCATGTCCTATTGCTACGTGTTCGCATGACTGCTTGAAGCATGTATCTGAGTGCACCTTTCAGGTGACACGGAAGTCAACAGCAGCTGTTCGTCTGTGTTCCTGTGCTGTCGGCAGTATCGGCCCCACTGCCGCTAGGGCTACCCAACTGCTATCAGATAATGTATTCGCCTGACAACTGAGCATGACGGTGACAACCGGAGCAAAGCTGTTTAGGAATCTGGGGCTTCGGGTTTGGCACCCTAAACCCTAAACCCTAAACCCTAAACCCTAATTTGGAGTCAGAAGCCCCGAAGAACACAAGTTCCAAGCCTCCGAGCTTTTGCGAAGCTCCCCGAGAAGCCTAAACCCTGAAGCCTCTTAGCCGGTGAGCTGCTGTTAGGTCCTCTTCCCTGATGACACGGTTGCGGCCCGGCGAAAGGGAAGAAGCTCTAGCTTTCAGGCTTTTCTTCCGTGAAGGTTCACTGAGATCAGAAGGGATTCAATCCGGTTTCGGGGTACGGGGCGAAGAGGGGTTCAGGTGCTTCGGGGTTTAGTCGGCTAGAGCTTGAATCGACACTGCAAACTGATACTAGGGCAGTCGGCAGGATGGCAGTATCGGAACCCCAGCAATCGGCAACAGTAGACTGTCGTTTGCTGACCCTTCACACACACATATATATATATATATATATGATCATATATATATATATGTATGTATGTATGTATGTATGTATGTATGTATGTATGTATGTATGTATGTATGTATATGTAACAGACATACATATATATATATATACATACATGTAAAAATAAATATGTACATACTCACATACATATACATATGCTTACACCTGTACAAGTATGTATACCCGTACATGTTCATGTACATATACAGATACATATATACACGCCATACCATATTGTACCACATCATATCTCATCATCGCATATCATACTCTATCATGTCGTATGGCAACATAAGAGATCATATCGTAATATAGCGTATCGTCTCACATCACACAGTTATCTGAGATGGACGTCTGAGGATATTGGAAGCTTCGATCGGATCGAACTTCCATCAGGGTATAGGTATAGGATTTAGGAGTTAGGGTTGCAGATTTCTATTCTGCAAACCTCAGCCCCAAGCAGGAACAGATTCGCGTGTACTCCAACGCCTTCACCTTCAACGCTGTCCCCTCCGCCTGTCTGGTGGCAGGATTCGGCAACCAGGTCGCGCTATTTGGGGTGTCAGAGCCTTTTGGTATTGGTATTTTGAGGGTTAATGCTTTGGGTCTTCGGGCTTGGGGTACGTGTGGAGTTTACGGGACAAGAGCGTGAGAGTGGGAGCAGACAAGACCACCTTAAACAATCCTATAAACCCCAAATCCCGAAACCCTAGGGAAAATGTGCCCTTCAGAGACCGCCGTGGTCAACGGAGCTATGGCATCTTAAGCCTTACCCGCAGAACGGGTGCACTCATACCAGGCGGGATTTACATTTGGAATGTTGGTGAGTGTACATGGGTAGTTCTCCAAATTAGGGTCTCTTTCCTTAGTTCTCCAATACCCAACCTTTAACCTTTTGGGTTCTTATAGTTTACTAGTAAGCTGAAATTTAACCTTTCATTTCCTTGGCTTATTGGGGAAGTAAGTTTTGGGGTCCTCTTGACAAGGGCGCCGTACTATCGTCGGGACCCAAAAAAGTTACCCGAACTTACAGAACTATCCACATGTTGGTTGGGGTGTTCTGAATGGGGATTCTAGTTATAAAGACGTTTAAAGACCATACTCATGCAAGCGATAAGCTGTAGGATCCATGGTTTCACGACCCGCCCATGAGCACAGCGCAAGTGAGCCGAGCATTTCGTAAGAGTCTTCCTCGGGGTTCCCTGATATACTAGTATATCAGTGTATCAGTATATTCTTATAATAGGGCTTCGGGTTTTAGGACCAGCGTCGAAGCTTTCAGAACCGCAGTCACCCAGGCTTCCATAATCCGGCTTAGAGGGGGCGCTGGGTTTAGCAAGTGTAGAAGCCCGGGTCGATACACGCCCCTCGCTTCCCGGAGGTGAGAGAATAGCGATCCTACTAATCCCTTCCCCCCTGTCATTAAACGCCACGCCTAATATTGAACACACATTGGGGCGAATGCTCCCGAAATCATCCCTGCCCTTTAGAAAACCTGTTTTAGGGGGGAGGGCTTCAGGGCTCCACGAGACCTTTGAAGAACAGAAGGCCCCTGACCCTAACTAAACCCCAATATCCCAAAACCCGTAAACTTACGGTTTAGGGTTTAGGGTTTAGGGTTTAGGGTAAACCCCATAAGCAACCATCCCTCCCTCCCTTTCCTCACTCGTTCCTTTGCTTTGCCAGCCGCTGGGGCTGTCTATCTTTCTGTGAGCGTGGCAAGAGAGACAAGACTATACCCCCTAATAACAAAAGCACGTTCCGAGTTCTTATTGAGGATGGGGGGAGGCCCCCCGCTTCTTCCCCGGTTTAACATTATAGGGGAAGGGACTATATTTATGGACCCGAGTAGCAGACGATGTTTGTTGATACCGGGGCTCAACCCGAAGCTTTTAGGCTTCAGGGGAGCTACGGTTTAAAGCTCGGGGCATTCTAGGGTTAAGGGCTCAGGGCTCAGGGTTTAGGGCTTAGGGCTTAGGGTTCAGGGCGGTTTAGGGTGTAGGGTTTGGGGTTCAGGGTTCCGCACTGGATGTTGGGATTCTGCCACGACCTCAGGCAAGACGTTGAAGCTGCCGCTCGGAGATGTCCCTGCACTCGTGCCTTTAAGGGAGTACTGTAGGTTTAGGGTTTAGGCTTCTGTAGATGGAGGGATGATGGGGGCTATGTATGGCTTTGCGGCTCGCATGCTTGTACTCTTGAGCTGAAATTTGGGGGCTTGGGTCTGAGGCTTTATTGCTCAGGGCTTGAGCCAGTACTGCGACCCTACACCTAAGACCCGGAGGACTCTCACCGGACACCCTAAACCCCCAAACCCTAAAGGCCCTAAACCCCAACCCTAAACCCTAAACCCTAAACCCCAAACCCTCCCTAAACCCTAACCCAAGCCCTAAAATGGGGTACAAACCCCATGGTCTGCCGCAGTCGGGGTATCGTCGAGAACCAGACTCCCAGCCCGCAGCTACACCCCAAAGCCTGAAGCCGAAAAGGCCCAAACCACCGAACTAACCGTAAACCACCATAAACTCTAACCCTAAACCCTAAGCCCAAAGATGCAAACCCTAAATTCATCCCAGAAGTCTGCAATCGGGTCCGGGTTGACGGTTGATGGAGAAGCCTTATGCACTGTCGCAACCGTGTTCCGCTTAGGAGCAATATCTACTTTTTTCTAGTTTTTTTAGTTTTTATATGATATGTTTCTATAACATGCCCTCAAATCCTTAATTATGCAGGTCGCCAAGAAGTACCTAGAAACGATATTGGGATGTCTCACTATTGGGAGAAGGCAAACCCCGTGCGTCCTACATCTTGAGCTACCCCAAAACTTCATTTAAGGCGAGGTGCAGGTTTTCTGCTTCTTGCTGGAGTCTTACGATGGGCTTTGGCCTTAATGCCTTAATGGTTTCCCAATAACAAATCCTTATATCTATTTTCGTTTATAGAGGAAAACTAGTTTGAACGCGTGTGCTGTTGTTTGCCTGGCAGTGTGTGTTGAATAGAACATCCCTGACTAGGTCGCTGTGTTCTGGAACCCGAGTGTAATTTGGGAAGATACCTCAAGTGACCTTACTTGGAGTTGCTGGATGTCGTCTGCAGAAGTGAATGACATCACTGGCAAAGACACCTAGGACCTAGGGGCCGTCTAGGTGAAGAGCCACTGTGCTGAAATCTTCGTGATCGTCGGGACATGAGGAATACATCTAGTTCTTCATACCCGCCTTACACCCTCAACCCTAAATACTAAACGAAAACCTCTTAACCCGAACCCCTAAACTTAATCCCTACGCCCCTGAGATAGTGCCTAACCAAAGCCTCAAGCACGAGGATTGAAGCGACGTCCGAGCTGGTGATCGATTTGGACCACCTTGAGAAATGCATTCAGGAGCCGATTGGTTTCCTGCTCATTGTTTGTCCGGCTATCAGCTGTTGGTACCCATAATGCAAAGCCCTGATGAGCATATAACTGTCCACTGTACAAGCGCCTTCAACATGCTAGATGTTCTCCGCACGTCCCTCCCAGGGCATCAACAGAAAGCTCGCAGCCAGTTGCGCAGTTCCCACTTAAACTCTAGTCTAACCTTTACACCTGACCCTGAACATTGTCTATCATCGCCTTGCTATAGGATGTTACAAGGGCTGTACAAGGCCTTCACAAGCCTTTATGCTCCTAATCCCCAGGCCATATACGCCTTTATCAACCCAGAAGCCCACCCTACAAACCTTGTACTTGTCCCTTAAGCCTATGTTAAATCCCAACACCCAGAACCCCAAACCCAAAGCAATGAACTCATCTGTACCAAACAGCCTCACCTCTGATCCCTGAACCCAAAACACATCTTCACATGCAAGCTCCGCCGGAGGACGACTTGAAGTCTGGAAAGTTTGCGCCGGGCAAAATGATCCTGGTTCTCTCGCCGCTGGGATTCGGGGGTTCAATGTAAGGCCTTCTTTACCGGTAAGGGTTTTGCTACGGTTCGAAAAGGAGTCGGGACGGGTTTACTTAAGCACCTAAATGTTAGACCGACATTTGTGGGGTTTTCTTGGATATCTTGTTGTAGAATGATAGCGGTACAGAGGTCTGTAGGGTCAGTCGGAATTTCCCGTTGTGGCCTCTCTCTCTCTATATATATATATATACACATATAACTATGCCGTGAGTATACATTGGAGCTCACATGTCAAAAAACACATTTCACAAACCCCTGAAGCCCTTATCCCGGAAGCCTCAACACCCATGCGTCCTGCTTGATCCTTCACTGAACCACTTCTGGATTTTGGGAAGCTGCCAAACAGGTTTGAGGTTTAGGGTTTAGGGTTTAGGGTTTAGGGTTTGGGAGAGAGGTGTTTCAAAGACAGAACCCACTTGCAGGTGCGCAAGGAAGTTGATTTCAAGGAACCTGGCACGCTGAACGCCAAACCCTTTGATACACCTGCCCGATTACGAAGCCTGCAGGATGAAGCTTGAAATGCCACAACCCCAACTTCCAAGAGTCTGAAGAAACCAAAGGTATATGCGCGGTCGCGTGCCGGACATGCACCGGGTTTTGGCGATCTGCTCCTGAGCAGCACGAGACCTTCGGGTTGCTCATGAAATCATTGCCGAACCTTTGAACAAAGACCCTAATATAGGGGCCTCATAATTGCCTAGACTATTTTACTATTACGGGTGCTCCTTTTTAGGACCATAGTATAAAGGACCCCCAAACCCTATTCTAATTATTAAGGCCCCTACATTATGGCTGTGTCCTCCCAGGCGAGAAATACCAGATTCAGCTCTTGGAGGACTCCGCCCATGGTGCCTCGGACTTTTCTTGGAGTTTGGGCTTGGACGTTGAGGGTTGCGTGGCATGGGGTATAGGATCGGATTCTATGATTAGGGTCTAGGATTAGGGGTTCAAGGTGGGCTAAGAAAGCCCGGGTGGGCATGTAATTCCAGGATTCTCGAAGTCAGAATAGATTATAGGGCCTTACTTGCTAGAACCCTAACCCCTAAAACCTGAACCATGGGGTTTAGGGTTTAGGGCCAGTTTAGGGTTGTTGAGTACTCTTTGAGTGTTTTATTGTTTTGTTTGTTCGAGAGGTGGATGTAGTACAGAGGCATAGTACTACAGATGACTCTGGCTCTTTACTTGAATCTACTGTGGGAGCTGGAGTAATTGGAATCCTCAGTGCGGAACCCGTAGGTCACCCTGACGGTTTAGGGTTTAGGGTTTAGGGTCTTTTTGCTGAATATTGAGCTGGAATCCTTAACTGGGAAGCCTTACACGAGAGATTGGAGTCTTTGCGTACCATTTCCGCCGAAAACATCCCGAAGTAATGAAGTCGGAACTAAGCCTTAGACGGCACTGTGAACGTTTTCATACTTTAGCTTTTAACTTGTATACATGGGTGGTTGTCAAAATTAGGGTCCCTTTTTGGGTACCCCAAACAATAGGTGCCGTATTATAATAAGGACCCAAAAGGGGACCATAATTTTGACAACCACCCATGACATGTCTTGATTTAAGGGCTTCTGGGTTCACTGGGTGACGCAGGCTACGGCTGCTCGTTCGACGGCCGCAAGTGTGGCTCCTTCGGCGTTGTCTCGACAATCTCGTCCCAGGAGCCCGCTGTTTTCTGTTTCACTAAACTGAACCTGTCTGTGTTTTGAGGTTTCTTATACGGTCGCACAAAGGATTCTCGGGGAATTCTCCGTGCTGTCCAATGCAGTCCTGCAATTCGGGAGTTTCCGAATATAGGGAACCTTAATATAGTACCCTAAATAGTAGGACCCTTATTAGAAGAGCCCCAAAATAAGGTACCCTAATTGTTGGAAACTCCCATGTATGTAAGACTGCCTCTAGAAGCGGATTTGTGTTTGGTGCGAGCAAGTCTTGAATGGTCCTTCTGTACAGCCAGAAGATTACTGTTCGGGCTGTTTATAAGGGCCCTTGTTTTTCAACCGAACGGCGCCGATCAACTGCCAGGCTAGAGATTACGATTCCACCGGCCTGCTGTACAACATCTCCCCGGCGCGGGCCTCGGCGTGAACAGGAGCCTCAGAATGGTAGCCTTGCGCCGGCTTCTACCTAAACCCTGAGGGTCCATGTACCCAAATAGTATATACGTTGGCCCCAAAGTACTTATATAGGGGTTACTTTAAGGCCAAAGTATATCTATTTGGGTACATGGACCCTTAGGGAAACCTATAATCCGCAAATTACATTAAACTCGACAACTTGCTACGCAGGGTGTTGGTCTGCTTCTTTTGTTAGCACACCCGCACAACCCGTACACCGTAGTTAGGACAACAAGCCCTAAAACCAGCGCCTTCCTAAGACCACCTAGGAATCCAAACCCGATCCTCAAGCGGGAAACCACAGGGTTTCGGGTTTAAGACCCCCTTACACAGGCCCCTTTATTGGGCTTTTCCCTAAGCCCTTGTCCCTGAACCCCTAAAACTTAAACCCCCTAAACCTTAACCCCCTAAACCCTAAACTGGCATCGTCGGAATCGGGTTCTCGGGTTTCGGACGGACGGAGGGCTGACTTAATATAGGGGCCTCAATAATTACCTATATTATTTTGTGGGTTCCTTATTGTCATAATACTAGAAAGGGGCCCAACACCCCATTCAAATTATTAAGGCCCCTGCGTTACCCTAAGCCCATATGGTAGCCCTTATAGAACCCTGAAGGAACCCTTTACAGGAACCCAAAAAACCCTATTATAATTATTAAGGCCCCTACACCCTAAACCCTAAACCCTAAACCCCTAAACCCTAAACCCTAAACCCTATTCTAATTATTACGGCCCCTACATTAGGGCTCGGGTTTCTGGCCCGAGGTTTTGGATTTCGTGGAGTTTCCCAGTGCTTAAGAGGCCCGTTGTTTAGGAATTGGGGTTTGGGTTTATGGTTCTTGGTTTAGGGTTTGGGTTTAGGGTTTCGGGGTTTAAGGTTTAGGGGCTTGGGTTTAGGGTTCTCGGTTTAGGGTTTAGGGGTATAGGGTTTAGGTCTCAGGCTCAAAATAGCCCAAAAGCCTCCTATAATGTGGTATTTCGGCCCAAAAGCCTGAAAATATGAGTCCTCAGAGCCTTAGGGTAGGGGTTTGGGTTAATTGTTCTCGGTTCAGGATTTGGGGTTTCGGGGTATAGGGTTTACGGTTTGGGTTTAGGGTATGGGGTTTAGGGTTTTGGGTTGTAGGGAGTATTTGGAGGATCGTGGGATTTAGTACGCAAGGTCATAAATTAATACAGTCGTTGGCTTAGGGGCTGAGTAGGTAACCTTTAACCTTTTGGGGCTTATATAATCCTACTATAACTCAAAAGGTTAACCTTTCTTGGGCTAAGGTACTCAGCCCCTAAGTTGGAGGTATACTTGGTTGTGCTTTCTTTGCAACCCTTTAGTTGCTAAGTTGCATGGTCCTTGGGGCTTCTCTCCCAATAGATCCGTTCTAGAACCCTGTGAGGCACCCTTTAAGGAACCAAGAGGGCTTAGCTTTTAGGTTTTAGGGCTTAGTTCTCTAAACCCTAAACCCTAAACCCTAAACCCTAAACCCTTAGAGCTTTGGCTTATCGCTAGCCTACAGCCTTCTCGGTTTTATGCCGCCCAAAGTGGGGCGCAGGACGGCTTCCTTTCTGGTTAAAGCCAGCCCAAAGGGCCAATATGGGTAGTTCTCTAAATTAGGGTCCCTTCTAGGGTCCATATTATATGGGTGCCGTACTTTATTGGGGACCCAAAAAGGGACCCTAATTTAGAGAACTACGCATTTGTTGCTGATATTTGTGATGGTGGTGTTGTCGTGGCTGCCACACCTGGCTTGGCGGATCCTCCTCCTCTCCCGTTTCGGCTCAATTGCAGCATGCGCTTTGGCATTTCAAGTTTTTGCCGGAGCTTCTCAGATGCGTCGGATTCGGGATCTCTAAACCCTAAACTCTATAAGCCCTAGAACCTAAACCCTAAACCGTCCACGTGGCTTGTGGGATGACTCTTCGACTTTCCGGACAGAGGACCGTCACGCGGAGGACCTCGCCACATACCCATGAACATAGGCTTAAGAGCCTGACACTAATTCGACTTTCAGAGAGAGGTTTGAGGGTATACATTTATATATATATATATATATATATATATATATTTATATGCATTTATTTATTTATATTTCTATATGGCTTGGGTATGTTATGCTATGACTATACGAGCCCCTGTGGAATAGTATTGGAAGTAATTCGACCTACCTACTTCCCTCAGCATCTTCTAACTTCAACTAGGCCCAAGGTAGCCCATGTTTGAAACGCCTAAACCCTAAACCCTACACGGGTAGTTCTCTCTAAATCAGGGTCCCCGTTTAGGGTCCTTTCCATAAGGGTGCCGCCTGCTTTCGGGTGCTAAACAAGGGACCCTTATTTGGAGAACTACCCTAAGCCCTAAACCCTAAACCCCGAAGTAGGCTTTATTTGTAGACTTGGAGTCTTCCGGTACAAGGTAGCCTTAAACCCTAAACACTGAACCCTAAACCCTAACCCTGAAACCTAACACCCAAAAAGGGAATTATGGACCTTCGTAGGGGAACTCAACGCAAGAAGTCTGCCGCATTCTGGAGGGTTATCAGGTTCCATGTACCCAAACATATATGCTTTGGTCCTACAGTAGTAAGGCCATGGTACATACTGTTTGAGTACATGGACCCTTTAGGGCTTTTCATGAATCCCCAAGTGCCTGAACCCTGTCCCGTCGAGGTGCTGGCCTAAACCGGCCCGTGATGGTGCGAAGGAGCCCGGGCTTTGTGAAATTTGGGCTATACTATACTGTATTGTAGACTATACTATACCATACTATACTGTACTATACTATACCATACCATACTACGCTATACTGTGCCATACCATACTGCACTATACTGTACTATAATGATACCATACTACACTATACCGTACTAAACCATCCTACACTACACCGTGCGATGCTTCTTATCCGGTTTTCAGGGCTTGAGGCAAAAGGTGTCGGGTTGCTCGAGGTTTCGGGACGGGAGTGTTGGGGCGGTTTGTGATTTCAGGGTTTGTGGGTTTAGGGCTGTAGGGGTTAAGTTTAGGGTTTAGGGCTCTAGGGTTAGGGTTTAGGGTTTTGGGCTTGAGGGTTTAGGGTTAAATCCGGGTTTTCGAGTACCATACGTTGAGGGCCTGTTCCTTAAAAGGAGCCGTTATGCAATAACGCTTATATTTTTTTTGCCTGGTTACTTCAAAGCCGAGTAATTGCCTTGTAACCGTTTAGTTCAAGTAGGTTTTCGAGGGGGGGCTTGCCACTTGGGGTTTAGGGGCAAGGGCTTAGGGTTCAGGGTTTAGGGCTTATAGGGCTTAGAGCTCAGGATTGAGGGTATAGGGCCTTGGGTTTAGGGCTTAGGGCGCTTCTTCACGTCTGTGTGCGAGGTAATTAAGTTGCTCTTTAGAGACGGGGATGTTCGGTGGGGGGTTTGGGGTTGAGGGGTTGTGTTTGCGGTTTAAGACAGTTTAGGACTTTAGGATTTGCTGAAGAAGCTTTGCTGTTGATCCTACCCGGGACAGCCTGCTCGGTAAGCTATCTTCCTTCCTGAGGCCGTGGTGAAGCCTTACCTATGGTATCCATTGTAGTTCCTTTGTCGGCAAACCCCATCGTACAAAGGTAACCACATCAAGGAAGCACAGTGGAGGCTATAGGCAACCCTGCACAAGGTCTCGTCTCGACAGTACGTCACCATCGGCCTCATCACATCGCGAGTTTGCGCCGTGCGGTTTCGGGGAGCTTTTGCTTGCTGGGCTTCTGGTCGAAAGAGAAGCTTTTTATAGTTCATGTAGGGTTTTAGGGTTTATAGGCGGGAGTTCGTTTAAGGGCTATAGACGTAGCGTTTAGAGTTCATGTCGTTTCCGGTTCAGAGTTCGCGTAACGTTTGGGGCTGAGACGTTGGAACTGAATTGAAACGTATAGATCCTCTGCACTGCAATAAGCCAAGGACGAGTTCTTGGTTGGGATTAAAAAATGCAGATGTCGATACCTTATTGGGTTTAAGTAGCCGAACAAATGCAACATTTTACCCAACCACAGGCATGACAAACAGGAAGGTTCCTGACTAGCAACCCCACACTAGTCACGTACGGCTTGTTGTCTCGATTCAACTTCTTAAGGGTGTTGTGGGTCTGGACCGCTTGGCTTGCGAGAAGCCGAATATCATCCGGCAAGAATGCGGCGGGCTGCTGATCCGCATCCGACCATCTGGTCCCCCCAGTACTGTTCGGGCTCCGTAGTATTGGGCGTCCCCGATGAAGGCTGAACACACAGAAGAGGGTACACCCTCATCCTTATGTTCAAGGGATACTGGGAAGCCTTGGCGTTGAAGTCGATCCCTGTGACGGGTATTAATATGAAGTCGGGTTTCGGGCTACGGTATGTATATGAGGTTCCGTGCGGACATTGGTAAGTTTAAAGGTTGGTATGCCTTGGGCGCTTGGCATACAAGCCTAATGTTGCCGAATTTAATTCATGGAGTCTTCCAAGTTGAGTCGGTAGCCTTTAACTTGTTTGGTTTGTTTGTTCGTCTGACAATTACGGACATAAGTTATTGATTGTCAAAATGTGTGTGTTGCAACTGCCACTAGGCAGTGATACCATCACAAGTCAGCTTGTCAATCGTATGCTTTTCCTTCTACGATGATTATCACTGTTGTTCTGAGATTCTGGTTATCTAGCGGGATGCCTTGCCGTTTCTCGAGTTTGTGTGTCTTCTGTCTTCGGCTGCAGCAGAAGGTGCCAGTGGCAAGTCATGTAGAATCAAGCATGTCAGATCCCAAGCGTGTTTGTTTGTGTGTGCATGAAACAGCAGCATTAGACAGTTCTGAAATCAGAATTAGAACTTCTTTACTCTAGAAGCAGTATTCCTGCAAGAAGGGTATGTAGGCTCTTTCGGATCCTGTCTGAATGGAGTCTGGAGCGCTCCCGCTCTGGTGGACCCCCGGTAGGTGGGCTACTTGAAAATGGAAGCTTAGGGTTTAGAGTTTAAAGGGTTTAATATAAAAGCCTAAACAATTACCTATATTATTTTGGGGGGCTCCTTATTATAGTTATAGTACAATATACCCCAACACTTTGTTCTGATTATTAAGGCCCTTACATTAACCTTTCCACAACCTAAACCCTAAACCCTAAACCCTAAACCCTAAACCCTAAACCCTAACCCCTACATTAGAGGGGCCTGGAAGTTTGGGCACGAGTCAGCTACCCTGAGCCGTCTTGTCCTTGTCCACGCGCCGGGATGGCACGAGCAGAAATACCAATCGTGCATTACCTTAAGGGATCCTAAAGTATGGGAGTTATGGTTTATTCTTTATTATGGGCAATGCAAGATTTATATCATCAGCTGTAGGGTCTGCGGAATATATCTTGAATTTAGTAGCTGAATGAGCACACTTTACATTTTTTGGAACAATATGGCCCCGCCCTTTTAGAACTGAAAGCGTACGCTTTTCTTGGCCAATGAACACAGCAACTAAGTGAATTATAGGGGCCTTGTCATTATGGTTAAGGTTTATGCCCCCCAATTAAGGGGTATTGGGCTCTCTGGGTTGTGGTTTGTATGTTTTACTTGAGATAGTGTCCCTAATAATTGGCATAGGGTTTTGGGGTATATTATACTGTAGTTATAATAAGGAACCCCGAAAATAGTATAGGCACTTATTAAGGCTTCTACATTATGCGTCATCGGGATAGACTTAAACCCTTTGGGGGGGATTCTATAATGCAGGGTCTTTAATCGTTGGAATGTGGCTCTTTTGAGGACTCATGTAATGGGTTCCTCTAAGACTCTAAGGGTTGTATCGGGTTTTCTGGGGTTTCGGGTGTTCTGGCCGTAGCAATTGCAATAGGGTTTGGGGAACACTTCACCGTCATTGTATTGCTGGTATTAGGTTTACTAGCTGTTCCGAATAAGGTTTGGGAGTTAGGGCGTAGAAGAGCTATCTTCTCGAAGAAGCATCCCGGATTAGTGCAGATGGCACGCGTGGTGGAGGTGAAGCAAGCTGGGCACCATCGTCCAAGAAGCGAACATCAGTAAATAAGGCGAAAACCCTCTTCGCCAATAGCTGAAATTGGGTTGCTTCAGGATCTATCTAGAGAGTTCGCAGCAGCAGCAGCAGCAGTAGTCTTAGTAGTAGTAGTCGTAGTAGTAGTAGGTTGTTGTAGTTGTAGTTGTAGTTGTAGTTGTAGTGGTAGTAGTAGCAGTAGTAGCAGGAGTAGTAGTAGCCTCCATCGTCGTAGTAGTAGTAGTAGTAGTAGTAGTAGTAGTCGTAGTAGTAGTAGTAGTCGTAGTAGTCGTAGTATCGTAGTAGTCGTAGTAGCCGTAGTAGTAGTAGTAGTAGTAGTAGTAGTAGTCGTCGTAGTAGTAGTAGTAGTAGTAGTAGTAGTCATGCTAG